TGTTACACAAAATAACTAAAGAGCTAAACTAGTTGAGTAACATTATTTACATGTATTTTAAAATCTCTTAGTGTAAATATTATTAAAAAAGTACAAATCTCTTGTTTTTGTTAATTAGTTACCTAATTTGGACATCGATCTTTGCAGATTTTCCATTTCCAGTGGTCAACTCACGTGACCGAGCAGTGGTTTATGATGGTATCGATGCAGAGGACAAGTTTTACCATACATCGTGTGCTATGAATACCTACTTGGTTAGTAGCCTTTTCAGTCCATTTTGTAAATCCAACAATCACATCTATACCATTCCGAGGTTCTGGAAAGGATTGCGTCCAATTGCAATGGGCGACTTGCACTAACAGGTCACGTGACCCTACCTCCCTTAAAATGAGCAGCTGTGTGAAAATGAACATCCGGAATGAAATGAGCACCTCGATATTAGTAGGGTGGCGAAGTTTCAGCTTTATGGCAAGCAAAAAAGGAAAAATGGCATTAAATATAAAATAAAATATTACATAACAGGATTTGTAAGGGAAAATACGCTGGATGGCAAGAGTGCCAGCCAACGCTTTTCCCATACAAATCCTTATAAAATGTTCGATTTTGTATTTTAATGCCAGTTCTCTTATAGTCAACATTATGAGCTGAAACTTCGCCCTCTCACTAATGTTGAGCAGCTCTTTTCATTTCTAAAGTTCGTTTTCAAACAACTGCTCGTTTTAAGGGAGGTAGGGTCACGTGACCTGTCGTCTATTGTATTGTGGGACTGTTTTAAGTGACGAAATAAGTCCTTCAAAAAAGCCCCAGAGTGCRTAACAATTCCAACTGGACCCAATCCTTTCCCCCACCCCGGAATGGTTGATAGATCCGGGACGATCTGGGACATAGTTTAGAATAATTTAAATTGTACTAATTAGTTTTTTATTTMTTTTTCCGAATTGTTTATATTCCCCCGATGTTCTGACTTCTGACGCACAGAAAAACATCGTACCAGAAGCTTTAATTCCAGGGTTGGTCGTAGTGAAGGAAGATGGTAAAATAGTTTTACAGATTTCTTTAGCATCCCAGACAGCGGTGAGTACTATGACAAATTTATTTCTGTGTCGTACAACTAACAAAGYAAAATGACTATACTTTCACGACGTTCGGTGCGAAAAAAGGTCATTAATGTATCGTATTCAGCGAACGTATTTTGAAGTAGCTTAAAATACAATTTAGTTGAAGGGTGATTGAAACAGAAGCAGCAAGTAAAGTATTTCATGAAGTACCACTCAACAGCATTTTTTACAATAACTTACGAATTTCTCGCGCGCTGTTAAAGCTGAACGCCAACGAGGGCGCGCTCTTTCCGTTAGTTGTTTTGATCAGTAAAAATGAGAAGTTTTTATCGTTTTTGTCATTGCAAAAAACAAATTGACTTGACAAAATGACGCAATTTATCGTCAATAAGAGGACAGACGCATAAAAATCTGAAGTCAATTTGTTAAATATAATCTTTATATCCGAAACCTTAGTCAATAAGCCTGAAGCGAGATGACGTTTTACCCCCGTCTCTAGACCATAATCCCTTTCACATTGCTTTTGTTCTTTAATTATGACTATTGTTCCAGTATTCTCTAAGGAATCAAAAATTTTAATATGAAAGAATTTTAAAAACTATTATGGTATAGAGTCGGGRGTAAAACGTCATCTAGCTTCAGGCTTATTTTATTAGTCTATTCGCGGGTGCTCTGCCATATCGAATAAATTATAATAAATTAACATCGTAACGATACGAACGGTGAGTCACATATATACAAACAAAGCTAAACTGAACAGAAAAATTGAAAAGGAAAACAGAAAGCACTTTATAACATCCGTTGAGACAATACAAGACACTGCGATGTCTCATAATCGACAGAACAAGAAACAACACACCGTTCGTTTCGTTTCCATGTTAATTATCATAATTTATTTAAAATCGCAGAGAAACCGTGAAGGAGACAAATAAATACTGGGTAATGTGCAGCCAGTGCCTCTCAAGACCCATTCTACTTGTGCTAACACTAAATGCCTTTCAAAATATTGAGATTCCTGCACAATAATAAGTGGACGAAGAGTCAATTGGTATAGACATACAGATCAGCCACCCTTCCCCAAGAAGACTTATTATTAGAGAGTTTTAGATTTAAGTTCACGGCAAACGTGAAACGTCAGTTGACCA